GATATTGGGATCTAGGGATATTGGGATCTAGGGATATTGGGATCTAGGGTAATTGGAATCTAGAGATATTGGGGTCTAGGGATATTGGGATCTAGGGATATTGGAATCTAGGGTAAGTGGAATCTAGGGATATTTGGATGTAGGGTAATGGGGGACTAGGGATATTGGGATTTAGAGATATTGGGATCTAGGGATATTGGAGACTAAGGATATTGGGATCTAGGGATATTGGAATCTAGGGTAAGTGGAATCTAGGGATATTTGGATGTAGGGTAATGGGGGACTAGGGATAGTGGGATTTAGAGATATTGGGATCTAGGGATATTGGGATTTGGAGATATTGGGATCTAGGGTAATTGGGGACTAAGGATATTGGAATTTAGGGATATTGGGATTTGGAGATATTGGGATCTAGGGATATTGGGATCTAGAGTAATTGGAATTTAGGGATATTGAAATCTATGGATATTGGGATTTAGAGATATTGGGATCTAGGGATATTGGAGACTAAGGATATTGGGATTTAGAGATATTGGGATCTAGGGATATTGGGATTTGGAGATACTGGGATCTAGGGATATTGGAAACTAGGAATACTGGGATTTGAAAATATTGGGTAATAGAGTAATTGGGATTTTGGGTAATTGGGATCTAGGGTAATTTGGATCTAGGGATATTGGGATCTAGGGATATTGGGATCTAGGGTAATTGGAATCTAGAGATATTGGAATTTAGGGATATTGGGATTTGGTGATATTGGCATCTAGGGATATTGGGATCTAGAGTAATTGGAATTTAGGGATATTGAAATCTATGGATATTGGGATTTAGAGATATTGATGTCTAGGGATATTGGGGACTAAGGATATTGGGATTTAGAGATTTTGGAATTTAGAGATATTGAGATCTAGGGATATTGAGAACTAGGGATATTGTGATTTGGAGATATTGGGATGTAGGGATATTGGAAACTAGGAATATTGGGATTTGAAAATATTGGGAAATAGAGTAATTGGGATTTTGGGTAATTGGGGTCTAGGGTAATTTGGATCTAGCGTGATTGGGATCTAAGGTGATTAGAATCGAGGGCAATGGAGATCAAGGTTAATTGGCATCTAGGGTTATTGGTATCTAGGGATATAAGGAACTAGGAATAATGCCAACTAAAGATATACGGCACCATAGATATTCGAAACTAGGGATTATAAGTATTCGAACACATAAATATTTGGGAATATAGGAATTTAGACATATAGTTATTTGAACATTTGTGTATTTAGAGACATAGTGATTCCGTAATTTACGTACGTATTGATTACGTACCTATCTAGGGATATGGATCTCTAGAAACGCGGGAATCTAGGGATATTGTTATATAGAGACGTTGAAATCTTATAAAGGTAACATAGAAACTAAAACTACAGAAATCCAAAAGTACAAAGATACACATCCCTGCACCTCACACTCACGCCAAAGTTGTCCAAGCTGTAATACAGATCTGTGCCCTCGATCCCCACAGCGATAGACAACATGGTTACCGTGTAGATAATCGACAACGTCTTCATGCGTTCTTCGAACTTGTTGGTCACTAGCCAGAAGCCCACGAACTTCAAGTAAAAGAACGTCGTGGTTATGGAGAAGTCCTCCTCGCTCCTTTGATCCATCGCGAACCATGTGCAACTGCTGGAGCTTCTCAAACGAACCCTTCGTGATTTATTATTTGCTTTAATTAAACGTTGCAAGATTCTGCTCGCTCGCGTGTCCCAACGCCCTCCTCGCGTTCTACGGAACAAAGGCCACCATGAAAGCGAAGACACCGCACATGAGAAAGTGTGTGTTGCGCCGATTAATTATAGACGATGCCAAACGGTGACCGCTTTCAGGTGTAATCGCAAATGGAATAACGTATTCGCTTACAAAGAAGCTTGACGTGATCTCAAGGTCCTTCACTTGGCGCTTCATTAATATCGGCGCGTACTATGTTTCTAATATGTTAATTAATTACAAGGTTCAAGACGAATCGACGGGCGGCGATCGATAGCTTCAGTGTTGTGACGTTATGTCGAGCTGTGACGAGGGAAGTGGCGGCTCAAGAAACTCCTTAGCTGTGATTGTGGCTCTTGTGAATGTGGATTGGTGATATTTAATAATATTTAATTTCGTGTGGATTGTAATATAATAATTTGAGATAAATGTTTTTAAATAAATTTGTGAATCTGTGCTAAAAATATTGTTTGGTGTAGCTGATGGATGTAGAACTTATAATTCATACTTAAATATTTTCAGTAATGACTAGAAATGTTTCAGGTAGATTTGTACAAAAAGCTTGTATTCAATTTTTGCTAAAATTATAGTACGTTAAAATTGTAATTTTCTTATTTACAACGATTGTAAATGTACATGTTTATTGAAATTTTTGCTACGTCTTTATTAAGTCTGGAGCTGAATTTCTTAGAAGCGTGAAATAGGACACTGCTGTGCTGAGAACCTGAAACCAAGAATGTAACATAACATCTTCAAAGTGTCGATGTAACTGTTGATATATTCAAGAAAATTGTCACAGCAATTTATACTTGGAAATAATTTAATTTTAATGTAATACAATTTTTTAAATCTGAGACACTTGAATTTCTATGCCCTCAAATTTTTGAACCTCTGAATTTTGAAATTGGTGAATAACTTTCAAAATTGTTAAGCAACCTAAATTAATCTCCCAAATTAATGTATCTTCCATATCGGAATATAATTCTAAATTACCGCTGTGAAAGTTTCCAGAGATACAGGAAAGAATCCTCCAGCAGTCAAACAGCAAGCTTTGTTGGCCCTCATGATAATTATTAACACATCTTCCCTTAGAGCTCTACCACCTTCGTTCATCTTAGCTACGAACCATGGACCAGCAAATGCAGCTTGCCCGATATTTCCGCTTTCCCGCATTAAGCCGTCCCAACAGTATGAGAACATGAGAAGTTGCGAGGAAACGGCCATCATGCTGAGTACCAAACTTATACGTCTTGCGGGTGGTGTGAACATCTGTAATAATATTACAATTAGGAAAAGAATAGAGTTTTTATTCTTACATGAGGATTACAATAGTTATAAATATTCTATATAAAAATAGTTAATGCTTCGCTTAATCAGATTTGATTCGATGTTTGTGCAGGAAGAATAAATTTAAGATTTGAAGCAGATGGATGTGTTTATATGCGATGGATGTGGGATATGCGCACGCGCGGTTGTATTGGAACTCTGCGCAGATCATCGGCGCATGTGCAGAAACGTACACGCATGCGCAAGTTATATTAGAGCTCCGCGCAGACCAGTAGACGCATGCGTCGAAGCGTACACGCATGCGCGGCTATATTAGAGCTCTGCGCGGACCAGTGGCGCATGCGCCGAACGCACCACTGATACCTACTTCACGAATAAAGACAAATACGCACAAAAATCATGAAATTATCACTTTGATATTAAATACAACGCATAAAATATCAGAGAATTACGTAAAATGCAATTCATACTAACCAGAAATACTTGAAATCCCAGGCAACATAATAACAAAGCTACGAACAGTATTTCGCCCAATATGATCAACGTAAACACGTTCTCGAGCTTCCTGCAATAATTAATAAGCGCCTGATGGTGTCGGATGCAGCTCTTCAATTTTATCAAACGTTCGATGGCACTTTTAGTCCGACTCCTGTTCAGATTTTGTTCACAGGTTTGCATCGATGCCAGAGACCTCAGCCTGTGTTGCAGTATGCGAAACTGGCCTGTTATGTTCAGGCACAAGATGCATAAGAAATTGTCGAAGCAAAAGTAGCTTATCGCAACGTGATACACGCAAAGTATCTGTTCAAACACGTTGCAATTTCAATTTGGTAGTAAACTGCGATATGATAGTTTTATTTATGTGATTTTGAGATACTTCAAAATTCAGTTTGTTAAACTTCATTTGTTGTAACTATATTTTATTTAATAAATAATTAAACTGTGCATTAACGTTATTCGAACGTAATGATTTACTGTACTGTACTGTAGTTGATCTTTTGTATATCATTCGCAGAAAAGGGGAGCTTTACTGACATATGCCAAAAGTGAATGCTGTAATATATAAAGAGTTACAGATACCTGTATAGTGAAGAATACTTCAAAGTAAGGGGACATTCCAGTAGGAAAATCGATCCAGAGATTGAAAGGTAGTATCCTTTCAGATTCGTTTTTTCCAATATTTTCTGAAATGTCACAAAATATAGATAGTACAAAACGAGTGTAGTGAAAGAAGAAAATTTCTAGTTTGATTTTAATATAACAACTTAATGGAATACATGCATAAAGATTTTTTATGAACTCACCCACAAAAGGTGTAATGGCGTAACCAGAACAACCACCCTGAACACAAAACATAATAAAAACAATGAACCAATCGCACAATCTCTTGCAGTCCATCAAAATCTTTCGCTCAGTTTGATCATCGGTCGGAGGCATGAATGTTTGCTCCGTGCATAAAACTATGTCGAAGAACTTTCTTTTGTGAGCGGACAAAACTGCGATCTTGAAGAACCCGTTCATCAAGTACAGAATGTTGCAAAATATGTAAACGCAGTCCTAAAATTCCACCATTAGTTGTCGTTAAAATCGATCAAATTTTATAATCAATTCAAAGCCATTTACGAACACAATCAACAAATTTTATGAATTTATGAACACAAAAAATTTGCAATCGATATTTAAGAACTACATACTTTTTACAATGAGTATACTTATGCATACACGAAATCCACGAATGTGAACCGAAATTAAGTACTCACGTTGAAGTTGCCCCACGAAAAATGCAGGTCTCTTAACGCGATACCCATGGCGATAGACAGAGCCGTGAGCGTGTAAACCAAAGCAAGATTTCGCCGAAGCTGTTCGGCTCGATTATTCGCGATCCATATACCAACGACTTTAATCAAGAAGAGTGTCCATATGATGGAGCGATCTTTGCTGTGCAATAAACGCATGGTAAATGTCAAACAGCTGAGAATACCGGTGTCCGATTCCCTCCGAAGTTTTCGAATTGATTTTTATTGCGAAACGTCCAGCAAAATCTCCCTCCTCGAGACGGAACAAGAAGTTGTCAGTCTTTTTTCGCGTCTGCATTTCACGTGTTCTCGCTGGTGTAAATCAGAGGCGCCAAGGTGATAATCAACGGTGTTTTATTCATGGTTTCAAGATGGGGGTCGAATCATCCCCCCCGTGACAGTCAAGAACGGGCAGCAATTGTGACTGTAGATCAAGTTGCTAGCGAAGTACAGTGTTACTGTTGCGATCAAACGGAAAAGTGTCGTTGATGGGTTCATCATATTCTCAAAAGCAGAGAAGCTAGTTCTTATGAGATATCTGTGAAGCGAAAAATTCTTCGTTTTTATTCGAACTTCAGTCTTGTTAGTCATTCTTGAGTTGCTATTGTCAGAGTTAGAGTGAGACCGATGTTCCACATAGGTTTTTGTGATTTGAGAATGTGGATATGCTATATTTTAAAACGACGAAGTGTCTATTGTTATGTGTAAATAATTAACAGGTACGTGTTAATTGTTATTATCGTAGAAGTAATGATTAATCGATGAATGAAGTAAATGTACAGTGTTGTATTGAACGTGGTGGAAGAAGGTATCTGTCCGTGGAAATTCTTGTTACTTTTTGTATTTGATATTGATTAGATCTTGCATTTGACTTTGATTAGATATTTAATTTTTGATTAAATCTTGCATTTGATCTTGATTAGTCCTTGTATCTGACCTTGATTAAATCTTCTATCTGAGCTTCATTAGATCTTGTGACTGACCTTGATTAAATTTTAAATTTCACCTTAAATTTAAACAATGACTGTTCCAATAATAATTAAATAGCTTTATATCTAATCGAAATAGCTAATAAATAATTATCATAAGCTTTGAATAAACTTGTACGTAACTTTACTTAAATTCTTGATGTACTGATAGGAAGAAATGCAACAGGAATCATCTTATTTACACAATTCTTAATGATATTAAATGTACACAATGTTATATTAAAGTTTTTGCTATGCAGTTTGTAAGTCAGGAGCTGAATGCCGTAGAAGTGTGAAATAGGACATTGCTGTGCTCAGAACCTGAAATCAAGAATTTCGGGTATAAATACAAGATGTTATTTAATTCGTGAAATAATAATGAAAAATCGAAGCAACAAAAATTTCTAGGTTATACTTTTCACATTAGGGTGCAAATTACGTTAGGGTGTTACTATGTACTGTCTCTAGAATTCATTTCAAAACGACATAGCAGTTTCTTGATTTTCGGAGTAACAATTTTTAACTTTAAAAATTTCCAAATACTGAATTCTTCAATATAAAAGTTTCATACTTTGGAATAGTTTTAACACGTAACAAAAAATTTAACAAACTAATTACCGCTGTGCAAGTTTCCAAAGACACCGGAAAGAAACCAGCAGCAGTTAAACAGCACGCTTTGTTGGATCTCATGTTTAAAACGACGAAGTGTCTATTGTTATGTGTAAATAATTAACAGGTACGTGTTAATTGTTATTATCGTAGAAGTAATGATTAATCGATGAATGAAGTAAATGTACAGTGTTGTATTGAACGTGGTGGAAGAAGGTATCTGTCCGTGGAAATTCTTGTTACTTTTTGTATTTGATATTGATTAGATCTTGCATTTGACTTTGATTAGATATTTAATTTTTGATTAAATCTTGCATTTGATCTTGATTAGTCCTTGTATCTGACCTTGATTAAATCTTCTATCTGAGCTTCATTAGATCTTGTGACTGACCTTGATTAAATTTTAAATTTCACCTTAAATTTAAACAATGACTGTTCCAATAATAATTAAATAGCTTTATATCTAATCGAAATAGCTAATAAATAATTATCATAAGCTTTGAATAAACTTGTACGTAACTTTACTTAAATTCTTGATGTACTGATAGGAAGAAATGCAACAGGAATCATCTTATTTACACAATTCTTAATGATATTAAATGTACACAATGTTATATTAAAGTTTTTGCTATGCAGTTTGTAAGTCAGGAGCTGAATGCCGTAGAAGTGTGAAATAGGACATTGCTGTGCTCAGAACCTGAAATCAAGAATTTCGGGTATAAATACAAGATGTTATTTAATTCGTGAAATAATAATGAAAAATCGAAGCAACAAAAATTTCTAGGTTATACTTTTCACATTAGGGTGCAAATTACGTTAGGGTGTTACTATGTACTGTCTCTAGAATTCATTTCAAAACGACATAGCAGTTTCTTGATTTTCGGAGTAACAATTTTTAACTTTAAAAATTTCCAAATACTGAATTCTTCAATATAAAAGTTTCATACTTTGGAATAGTTTTAACACGTAACAAAAAATTTAACAAACTAATTACCGCTGTGCAAGTTTCCAAAGACACCGGAAAGAAACCAGCAGCAGTTAAACAGCACGCTTTGTTGGATCTCATGATAATTATCAGCACATCGCTTCGTAAAGATTTACCACCTTCTTTGATCGAGAATATGCTCCATGGACCCGCAAATGCTGCTTGTCCAACGTTCACACTTTCTCTCACTAAACCGTCCCAACAGTATGAGAACATAAAAAGTTGTGAACAAATACCCATCATGCCTATTACCAAACTTATGCGTCTTGCTGGTGGTGAACTCATCTATCAAAAGGGTGAAACAGATTTAACCCACAGTAGTACAGATTTAACCCACGAGTTGGTGCGTGAAAGTAAAAGAAGTCCACCGTGAACATTTGTAGTTACATTTCGGCAAATGAGAATAACAATTGCTGAACGCAAGTAGCACTTGAGAGACGCTTGCCTGTTTTTCGCCTAATTGGCGACCGCGAGAGCCAATATACCGCCGAAAATACGTGTGAGGCCATTTTTCTGTTCTGACCAATTGGAGTGGCGCTTCTAAACACCACGCGCCAACTCGTGGGTTGACATCGGTATGTGGGAATGTGGAATTTGGGGTTTGACAGTTTGGGGTTTAGAAACGTTGAAGTTGGAGTTTGGATGTTGCGTATTCAGAAATGTAGAAATTTGAGCGGGTGAAAATTTGAAGTTGGATATTTAGAAAAGTGGAACGGGTTTATGGAAATTTGGAAATTTGGATATTTAGAAGGGTAGAAATTTGGGTTTGTGGAAATTTGAAAATTTGGATGGAAGGGTAGTTTCTTGACAAATTTAGATACTTAAGAGTAGAAATTTGGTCATCATAGGCATTTGGCAAGCTGGATAATTGTAAGCTTGATAACTGGAAGTCTGATAAATGTAGGCTTGATTTTGCAAGGTTTCCAAATTTCTATGTTGTCCAATTCTCAAATCTCAAATTGTATAGCACCCCAAATCCCTAAATCCCCAAAGTTCTATGTCCTTAAATCTTTATATTTCCAAATTCCAATACCTTCAAATACCTACATCCTCAAATTGCAAAATTCTCAAATTCTATGTCTCCCAAGTCTCAGATCTCAAATTATGTAACTCCCTAAATTTCTGTATTCCCAGATCCCTAAATTCCCAAATCACTACGTCTCCAAATCTCTATATTCCCAAACTCAGTATTCAGAAATGTAGAAATGTAAAAATTTGAGCGGATGAAAATTGAAGAATGAAAATTTGAAGTTGGACATTTAGAAAAGAGGAATGGGTTTATGGAAATTTGGAAATTTGGATATTTGGAAGGGTAGAAATTTGAATTTGTGGAAATTTGAAAATTTGAATAGAAGGGTAGAAATTTCTTGACAAATTTAGATATTTACGAGTAGAAATTTGGAACCTAGAAATTACAAAATTTTTATATTCAAAAATATAGGAAACCTATTAGGAATTTAAATTTTTTGACAAATTTATATATTTAAGAGTAGAAATTTGGATCTTGGAAATTGGAGAATTTTGATATTCAAAAATATAGAAAACCTATTAGGAATTTAAAAATATGTCTAATTGCTGTGTTAAACCTTTTTGGTTCACGCGCCAACTCATGGATTGACATCAGTAGCCAACAATTAGTAACTTTGAAAGAAGAATGTGAAAGTTCAAACCCACTCCAAGTGTAAATCAAAACCCATCACACTCAAACTAAATATTACTAAATTCAATACTAAAGTAAGAAAATATGACAAATTAAACAATGAAGATTTCCAAAATTTTAAAATAAAACTCGAAACATCGCAAGATGTCAAATAATAAACTAATGATAATTATTCAGAACACGTTGTATACGAACCAGAAATATTTGAAATCCGAGGCAGCACAGTAGCATAGCCAAGAACAACACTTCACCGAGTACGATCAACGTAAACACGTTCTCGAGTTTTCTGCAATAATTAATGAGCGTCTGATGATGTCGAATGCAACTCTTCAACTTTGTTCGATACTTGATCGCATCGTCCGACACATATGCGTCAGAATCTTCATCGTCTGTTTTCTTCATGCCGTTCAAACTTGCCAGCCTGTGTTGCAGTATGCGAAATTGGCCGGTTATGTTCAGGCATACGAGGCATAAAAAATTGTCGAAGCAAAAGTAGCTTATTGCTACGTGATACACGCAAAGCATCTGTTCAAACACGTTTCGATTTCAATCTGCTAATAACTGCGACGTGCTATTTATTCTAAATATTCTAAATGCACTATTTATTCTAAATAGTGTTTATTGTAATCAAATTTTATAAGGCATTGAACTATCAATTATTATTTGTTAGTTAAAATGTCAGAGAATTTTGTCATATTGTAAGGGAAAGTATAGTAATAATTTGCATTGTAAGATATTTGTAGTGTACGTTCTATATTTATATAATTTAATATTGCAGTCTTGAGTAATATTTATTCTGTAGATAAATGACATAATTGTGGTAATATTACTTATTTGTAGATTATTCGATTCACCAGCTTTTTTTAATAGGAATTTAATGTGGTAGTATTGGAATTTAACATAGGGGCGGAGCTAACGCAACGACGTCACAACATGGCGTCGCGAAGCCACGTGATCACCCCATATATTATTCTTTAGTTAATTTCTTGATTTTTTGCTTATTGAAATAGAAAAGTAGACACAAGTACCTGTATAGCGAAGAGTACTTCGAAATATGGAGACTTTCCAGTTGGAAAATCAATCCACAAATTAAATGGTAACATCCTTTCCATTTCGGGCTTTCCGATATTTTCTGGAGGGCAAAACGAAGTAAACAAAATAATAGCACTAAAGAGATGCTGTTTGAAATAAAATATTACATAAAAAATTTAAAGCAAATATTTCTTTTCGTTAAAAATTAAATTCGAACAATAATGTGTATGGTCATTTGCTAATTTACATGACTATATTTATTTGACAATTTACATAAATGACAGCTTGAACGAATTTATTTTACTTATGGTAACAATATTAGATGAACATAAGAAAGTTAACAATCAAATGTTACTTTAACATTTAACAATAAAGATGAATTAAAGAATGTGTAAAACATTTCTTCAGAAAGAAATATACTCACCCAGAAGCGGAGTGACGGCGTAACCAGAACAAGTACCTTGAACACAGAACGTAATAAAAACGATGAACATGTCACACACGCTTTTACACTCCATTAAAATTTTCTGTTCCGTGATATCATCACTGGGTCTTATAAAACTTCGCTCAATAGACACAACTAAATCGTAGAAATTCTTTTTGTGAGCGGACAAAACTGCAATCTTGAAGAACCCAATCATCAAGTACAGAATGTTGCAACCGATGTACACGCAGTCCTAAAATATGACGGTCGCAAACCTAATATGATGATCCAAATATGACGGTCAGAAACCTAACCTCAAAATCTGCTCAACATGCTTTGTCTCATAAATTACAAACTGCAGAAAAGGAAATTGATGATCATGAAATATGAAGATGCTAGCAGAAATAAAAATGTGATATAGAAAATAACATAACCTAAAAATTACAAATCGTTACGAAGAAAAAATAACAAGTAACGAATTGTTCTAAATAGTAATTAAATTATAAATCGTGTCAGATAGTAGAAAATAAAATATACATTTTACAATGAGTATACCTATACATCCATACCCGAGAGCCAATTAATATTTAAGAACTACATATTTTTCACAATGAGTATATCTATGAACCTACACTCGAAATCCACGAATGTAAATCAAAATTAAGTACTCACATTAAAATTGCCCCACGAAAAATGCATGTCTCTTAACGCGATACCTAAGGCGATCGACAGTGCCATAAGCGTGTAAACCAAGGCAAGCTTTCGACGAATCTGTTCAGCTCGATTAGTCGCGATCCATATTCCAATGACTTTCATCAGGAAGCATGTCCAAATGATGGATCGATCTTTGCTGCGCAGCAAACGCATCGTGAATGTCAAACAGCTGAGAATATTGGTGTACGATTCCCTCCGAAGTTTTCGAATTGATTTTTATTGCGAAACGTCCAGCAAAATCTCCCTCCTCGAGACGGAACAAGAAGTTGTCAGTCTTTTTTCGCGTCTGCATTTCACGTGTTCTCGCTGGTGTAAATCAGAGGCGCCAAGGTGATAATCAACGGTGTTTTATTCATGGTTTCAAGATGGGGATCGAATCATCCCCCCCGTGACAGTCAAGAACGGGCAGCAATTGTGACTGTAGATCAAGTTGCTAGCGAAGTACAGTGTTACTGTTGCGATCAAACGGAAAAGTGTCGTTGATGGGTTCATCATATTCTCAAAAGCAGAGAAGCTAGTTCTTATGAGATATCTGTGAAGCGAAAAATTCTTCGTTTTTATTCGAACTTCAGTCTTGTTAGTCATTCTTGAGTTGCTATTGTCAGAGTTAGAGTGAGACCGATGTTCCACATAGGTTTTTGTGATTTGAGAATGTGGATATGCTATATTTTAAAACGACGAAGTGTCTATTGTTATGTGTAAATAATTAACAGGTACGTGTTAATTGTTATTATCGTAGAAGTAATGATTAATCGATGAATGAAGTAAATGTACAGTGTTGTATTGAACGTGGTGGAAGAAGGTATCTGTCCGTGGAAATTCTTGTTACTTTTTGTATTTGATATTGATTAGATCTTGCATTTGACTTTGATTAGATATTTAATTTTTGATTAAATCTTGCATTTGATCTTGATTAGTCCTTGTATCTGACCTTGATTAAATCTTCTATCTGAGCTTCATTAGATCTTGTGACTGACCTTGATTAAATTTTAAATTTCACCTTAAATTTAAACAATGACTGTTCCAATAATAATTAAATAGCTTTATATCTAATCGAAATAGCTAATAAATAATTATCATAAGCTTTGAATAAACTTGTACGTAACTTTACTTAAATTCTTGATGTACTGATAGGAAGAAATGCAACAGGAATCATCTTATTTACACAATTCTTAATGATATTAAATGTACACAATGTTATATTAAAGTTTTTGCTATGCAGTTTGTAAGTCAGGAGCTGAATGCCGTAGAAGTGTGAAATAGGACATTGCTGTGCTCAGAACCTGAAATCAAGAATTTCGGGTATAAATACAAGATGTTATTTAATTCGTGAAATAATAATGAAAAATCGAAGCAACAAAAATTTCTAGGTTATACTTTTCACATTAGGGTGCAAATTACGTTAGGGTGTTACTATGTACTGTCTCTAGAATTCATTTCAAAACGACATAGCAGTTTCTTGATTTTCGGAGTAACAATTTTTAACTTTAAAAATTTCCAAATACTGAATTCTTCAATATAAAAGTTTCATACTTTGGAATAGTTTTAACACGTAACAAAAAATTTAACAAACTAATTACCGCTGTGCAAGTTTCCAAAGACACCGGAAAGAAACCAGCAGCAGTTAAACAGCACGCTTTGTTGGATCTCATGATAATTATCAGCACATCGCTTCGTAAAGATTTACCACCTTCTTTGATCGAGAATATGCTCCATGGACCCGCAAATGCTGCTTGTCCAACGTTCACACTTTCTCTCACTAAACCGTCCCAACAGTATGAGAACATAAAAAGTTGTGAACAAATACCCATCATGCCTATTACCAAACTTATGCGTCTTGCTGGTGGTGAACTCATCTATCAAAAGGGTGAAACAGATTTAACCCACAGATTAAAAAGACGAAGTGTGTATTGAGTTCGTTTGTAAATAAGTGAATTTGCAGCAGGTTGACGTACTTTATTTTAATTGTTACAAGCTTGTTATGTTAGTAGCAGAAAATTCGAGAGAAAATAGGCAGACTATTCACTTAGTAGACTATAGGTAGGCTAAGCATAGATCATTTGTAATGCAGCATATTCCTATAGGTAAGTTATCTATGCACTATGCGTTATACATTTTAAAACGTATGGTGAATTTGTCGTGCAAGATTTGGAATGAATTATCTATTATCTACTAACTCAACTCCTACCGTCTATTATCACCTATGATTTACTATGTACAACTACTACTATCAGCGATAAATAAATTACGTTTGACATAAACAATAGGTTCTACGCAACAGTGTGTCACAAACAATTCCGATACTATCATAGTCCTCTTTTCGTGCCTCGTGTATCGATTTCAATCCATGTCCACATAATTCGAATTCTAGTCGCTATTGTCATAGGCGAGCGATTCCCTCATCAGAGCAAAATATGAGAACGTAGAACTTGCGAGCTGTAGACAAAATAAATTTCGTTAGAATAATAATTCTGAGTAAATCACGTCGCTATTCTATTGCAAGTACACTAAGAAATTAGTAACGGAGGGCTAAAGTATCGAAACGATTTCACCGCAAATTTCGCTCCTCTCGATATATTGCATACCGTGGTAAAGGTCTCTAAAGATACAGGAAAGAATCCACCAGCAGTCAAACAGCACGGTCTTAATCCTTTCATCATAACCATTCTCATGTCCAATCTCAGCATTTTACCCATTTGACTCATTGGCATCGTAGCCCACGATCCCCGATATATCGCTTGGATAACGTTTGCGCTCTCTTCCATTATGCCGTCACAACTGTACGACAAGACAGCTACGTGAAGAAAACTGCCTACTGCGTGGGCGAAGAGAGTCGCGCGGCGTTCGAAACTGGTGGTTGGCTGTAAATATATGTATTATTGTTACATTTTTATTGTCAGTAAGAAATATTCGCGTTAAAGAGATTTAAATCACAGAGGCTCTGGTTATATTGCCCGATGATATTAGAGACTTGAACAATTGGGTGATTGGTAGATTGGAGAAACTGAGTGACGAGTAGGAAATTTTAGAAACTTGAAAAAGTGAAGGTTTGGACATTTGGATAATTGTAAACTTGAAGAATTGAAGAATTGAAAAATGAAAAAATTGAAAAATTGAAAAAATGAAAAAATGAAAAATTGAAAAATTGAAAAAATGAAAAAATGAAAAAATGAAAAAATAAAAATATGAAAATATGAAAAATTGAAAAATTGAAAAATTGAAAAATTGAAAAATTGAAAAATTGAAAAATTGAAAAACAGAAAAACTGAAAAAATGAAAAATTGAAAAACTGAATCATTATGAACGCATACGTACCAGTAACATTTCGTAACCATCCAAAGCCATAAATGCGCTAAAAACTAAGAAGTGCGTTAAAATCACGGGAGAAAACAGGCGTTCTACTTTTTCGCAGAATGTAATAATTAATTGGTGTCGCTGAATACAGTTCTTCAGAGCTACAGTATATCGTAGTAAAGTCATGTCCTCATCAGTGTCTTCCCTTTTGGGTTGCCAGAAATCCAATATTCGTTTTTGCAGTATACGAAATTGACAGATCACGTGTAAGTTAAAAATGATCATATACGCGTCCGGAGTAATGTATGCTATACTGGTACAAATTACGACGAATATCTAAATGATTAATAATTTTCTAAATTATTCTATTTTATTAGCATTGTAATATTTATATTATATTGCCGTTTTTGATATGTACAAATGCGTAGCCTGCGCTATAGTAAGAAGTTTTAATAAGAAAGTAAATGTGATACCTGGAAACAAAACATCAATTCGTAATAAGGTGTGTCATATACGGGCCAACTGACCCACATTTTGAACACCAACTCCCTATGTGATTGATTCTCCTCTCTGTAATTCACTGTAATTCGAATTAAAATTTCTTTAGATCAAATTTGAGAAGTAGCAGATTTAGATATTCTTTAATTTTTACATATTTTATACTTTGCAGGTTACATTCCTAAATCTGGAAAATGGACGGTTTGGACATTTGGGACCTTAAGAATTTAGAGGTTTAAAAAGTTAACAGAAATTTAGATAATTGTCGAGTGCAAAAATTACACAATTTAAAATTTTTTTAATTCTGAATCTTAGTGCTGAGAATTACCAACTGTCAAATTTGGTCATTCGCAAATTTGGAAATTATAAATTTCTAAACTTTGAAATTACACTGAAGTTCTTGAATTCACAAATTGTTAAATTTGATAAAGTGGATCTTCGGAAATTAAAGAATGTATAAAATTATACAACTGCAGAGTTATAGAATTATAAAGTGTGTATGTAAAAAATGATTGTATCTACTCACCCATGAGGGGTACAGCGCCGTAACCAATTATACATATAGTGGTCACAGTGACACCATAGATAACCCACCATCCAGAAAGCTTGTGATATATGTCTATGTACGCCTGTTCTTCGGGAGTATAGTCATCATTCCAAATATATCGCTCCGAGAATACAATTAGATCTTTAAAGTGAAATCTGCGAAGCCGTAAGACCACCACCCTGCTTAGTGCCAGAAAGACCATCAAGAAATTGCAGAAGCAAAATGAGCAATACTGTAATTAACAGATTTATTAATCAGAAAAGTAACTAGCTTCTGAGAAATTTCAGGATGGCTACTTACACTCATATCACTGCCCCAAAGGTGCTTGATAGTCACGCTGTTCACATAAAAGCCGTAACAACTTGTATAAGAAAGTACGAACAAAGAAAGTATGCTTTTTATCTCGTCGGTTTTCTTTTCCGGGAAATAAACGCCAGAAATTTTCCACATAAACGTCGCCGCTCTGAGGCCAAAGACTCTATACACAATGGTTCTCGCCATGGTTCTCTTTGACTTCTGATCTCCCAAAGAGTGACATGCAGCCTTTGGTAAAAACTTTCAACGAAGAAGATTGATATGACTCCGCTGTAATCAACAGTCTCGCCGGCGGTGTGAAAAACCAGTCGCGAAGGATTGAATTCCGTTTTCCAGGTATAGAGCCGGTTGCGAAAATGATTATACGATCGTGCGGTAAATTATTTACGAGTTAACAGCTGCATGTTTACTGGGCGCTAGACTTTCTATCAACAGCCTTGCTATATGGGAGGTGTTCGAGGGTTGTTAGAGGGTGCGAATACTGCGTGCAGGATAGAGTAATCGATGGAGCAATGTAGTGAGATATGTAAGGAGCGAATGTCAAGTCATGTGTTGGCGCGTGAGGTGGAGCCGAGTGTTTAGAGCTACGGCACAATCGGTCAGAAGAGCGAAATGGACGCCGCACACGTATTTTCGTCGGTCGGAATTGCCAGAAAGAAGAGTTCTACTTTTCTGAATATCGAGGCTTTCAAATTTCTTACAGGTAAATTCCTACTTATTTAAATTTCGGCTAATAGTAAAATTGCTAATAGGTAATTTGATTGTGGAAGATATGGATACGACCGAAATTAGAAAAATTTATATTACATATATTCCTACGTTTTGTTATATGGTTTATTACATTACAATATGTGCCGCTGAAACAGATTAATAGTAATTGTTTCGTCTATTACTCGCTCTCACTTCCCGAGATGGAGTTCCTCATCAGTGTGAAGTAGGAAAATGTAGAACTTAATAACTGAAAAGAAATTCCGTTAAAATAATTCGATAACAGAAATTATGATATACCTAACCTAACCTCACATAATAACTAACCTCACACATAGTTGTCTGACACAAATTTGTTTAAACTTCAAATCTAGTCTAACTACCCTAACCTGACACATGATTTCATCAAAAAAACCTATCTTCTTCAAACCTAACCTCTCCATATGGTTCACCATTTCTCAGATTCAACTCTTCCCTAATTTCTGTTTAGGTAAAATTGAACGCCGAAGTGATAATAAAAGTTAAAAGTGATAAATGTGAAAATTCAGCAAAAGCACATTGCACGAAGTATCACTGTCAAAGTGGAATAATACGATGAGGATGTTACCGTGGTAAAAGTTTTTAGGGAGACTGGAAAAAATCCACCAGCAGTTAGACAACACGGTCTCATTGTCCTCATCATTACAATTATGATTTTTGATCGTATCGATTTACCAATCTGATCCATTGGCAAAGTGCTCCATGATCCGAAATATATAATAGTAGAAATCTTCGAGCTTTCTTCCGTCAAACCGCTGCAGCAGAATGTGAAGATACCAAGATGGATGAAACTACCGGCTACGTGGAATATGAAAGTGCATCGTCTTGCGAGAGGTGCGTTTGACTGCAATATAAGTAAAATGTAAGTATATTCGTACGTAATTGCTAAAATAATTTATGGTGTATTAAATTTCTAAACCTATGAAACCTACTCTCTATATCTCCAAATTTTGATGTTCACAAATTCCCAATTTAGTTTAATTAATTTATTTTCAATTACCATTGTTAATTTCAAATTATCGAATAATTGATTAGAAAAATTTCTAAATTTAGTAATTTAGAAGCGATTGAACTTGATAATTTAAAATGATAAATTGATAATTTGAAAATTAGTTCAGCTACCAGTGTCAGAATATGTATCGAGATATAAGTACCAGGAGTATTTCGTAGCCGTCGAGTCCCATTAATACACTGAATATCGCTACGTGTATTAAAAGCGTGCGCGAAAAAACATGTTCCATATTTTCACAGAACTCGATGAGCGATTGATACTCGTTAACACACTTTCTGAGATCCACGTCTCATCACATGTTACAACAGATTTCAACAAATTTTACAAGAAACTTGATGTTTATTCGCTGTTCGGTTTTTACGTTAGACATTTTTCCGGCAGAATGCAGTGCATGTGTTCACTAAATAACGCAATACTTGCAAACGGTATGACCGATTCAATCGAAATTGGCAGCATGGATAGAGGAGGTACGTGGCATGATGCCACAAAAACAATTGCTGCCAATTCCATTGTTTTTTCAAGCTACAGACCTAGTCTCGTTACTTTTGTGTCACACCTCGTATACAAAAATCAATTCCACGTTATTTCTTCTATAGTTTATTTTAAAGGCAAGAGGTATAAACATCTTGTCTAATTAGGAACGAACTGCGTTGTCCAAGACGATCCTTCTAGTGTAAGCATGCTAAGATATAAAAAAGTATCAATGAGGCGTGGGACCTCTCGAGCACGAGGAAAAACGGTCCGAGGACTAGTCTGAATAGCGCACGTCTCGAGAAAGCATCTAGAAAAAGAATATGTAAAAGAGTTCACTGATTCATTTTCAAAATTAAAATTAACAACTGTGTTTTATTAAAATAACACCTTGCTTCCATAATCCCAATATTATCTAATGTACTATGCGTTATACATTTTAAAACGTATGGTGAATTTATCGTGCAAGATTTAGAATGAATTATCTATTATCTACTATCTCAACTCCTACCGTCTATTACCACCTATGATTTACTATGTACAACTACTACTATCAGTGATAAATAAATTACGTTTGACATAAATAATAGGTTCTACGCAACAGTGTGTCACAAACAATTCCAATACTATCGTAGTCCTCATTTCGTGCCTCGTGTATCGATTTCGATCCATGTCCACATAATTCGCATGCTACTCGCTAGTGTCATAGGCGATCGATTCCCTCATCAGTGCAAAATATGAGAACGCAGAACTTGCGAGCTGCAGATAAAAAGAATTTCGTTACAAAAATAATTCTGGGTAAATCATTTCACTATTTTATTGCAAGTACACTAAGAAATTAGTAACGCGAGAGCTAAAGTGCCCAAACACCGCAATTATCGCTCCTCTCGATATATTGCATACCTTGGTAAAGGTCTCTAGAGACACAGGAAAGAATCCAGCAGCGGTCAAACAGCACGGCCTTAATCCTTTCATCATAACCATTCTCATGTCCAATCTCAGTATTCTACCCATTTGATTCATTGGCATCGTAGCCCATGAGCCCCGGTATATCGTTGTTATAATATTTGTGCTCTCTTCGATTATGTAGTCACAACTGTACGATAAGACACCTAGATGGCCGAAACTGCCGCCCACAAGGAACACGATTGTCATGCGTCTTTCGAGGGCAGTGGTTGGCTGTAAATACACATGTTACTCTCAATAGTACTCAATAGTACTGGCCATAATGGACATAATCAATGGTGGTATTGGAATTGAGTTAGCTATAAATATTTCTTGATGTGTAGGTTATGTGTATTTTCATCTACAGAGTAGTTAAGGTGTGACGTTAAGCTTTGTGATACTTGCAATGTAACGAAAGTTTGAGGCAGTTGTATTACGTATTACGTCGATGTCGAGTTTATACTTGAAGACATGGAAATTTGGAAGTGTGGATTTTCAGGAAGCTTTGAGACTTGAAGAATTGCATGATTGGCGGTTGGAATGTTGGGAAATTAAGTGACTGGAAACTTGAGAAGTTGGATATAGAAAATTTTAGAAATTGAAGCAATGAATGATTAGAAATTTGAATTATTGAATAATTGAATAATTGAATGCTCTAATGATCGAATATTTGACTAATTGAAGAATTGAAGAATTGAAGAATTGAAGAATTGAAGAATTGAAGAATTGAAGAATTGAAGAATTGAAGAATTGAAGAATTGAAGAATTGAAGAATTGAAGAATTGAAGAATTGAAGAATTGAAGAATTGAAGAATTGAAGAATTGAAGAATTGAAGAATTGAAGAATTGAAGAATTGAAGAATTGAAGAATTGAAGAATTGAAGAATTGAAGAATTGAAGAATTGAAGAATTGAAGAATTGAAGAATTGAAGAATTGAAGAATTGAAGAATTGAAGAATTGAAGAATTGAAGAATTGAAGAATTGAAGAATTGAAGAATTGAAGAATTGAAGAATTGAAGAATTGAAGAATTGAAGAATTGAAGAATTGAAGAATTGAAGAATTGAAGAATTGAAGAATTGAAGAATTGAAGAATTGAAGAATTGAAGAATTGAAGAATTCAAAAATTGAAGAATTGAAAAATTCAAAAATTCAAAAATTCAAAAATTCAAAAACTGAAAAACTGAAAAATTCAAAAATTGAAAAATTGAGAAATTGAAGAATTGAAAAATTGAAGAATTGAAGAATCGAAGAATTAGAGATTAGGAAATTTGGAGATTTGGAGATTTGCAAATTTAGAGAAAGCAACTGAAAAATTGAAAAATTGGAAAACTGAGATATTGAAAAATTGGGAAATTTCGGAGGTTGAAAAATTGGAAAACTGAGCAATTGAAAAATTGAAAAATTGAAAAACTGAAAAACTGAAAAACTGAAAAATTGAAAAATTGAAAATTGAAAATTTGAAAATGGAAGACTTGCACAATTAAATTTTGGAAACCATGTGATCAAACATAAGCTCATGAATGCATAAACACTATCAACATCAAAATTTAATCATATAAATTATAGAATGTGTACATAGATACGTACCAATAATATTTCGTAACCATCCAAACCAATATACGCACTAAAGACCAGAAAATGCATGAAAATCGTGAGAGAAAACACACGTTCCATTTTCTCGCAGAATGTAATAAGTAATTGGTGTCGAACAATACACTTCTTAAAATTTAAAGTATAACGTGCTAAAGTCATGTCGTCGTCTATGTCCTCCTTTTTGCGTTGCCAGAAATCTAGTATTTGTTTCTGTAGCAGACGGAAGTGGCAGATCATGTGCAAGTTAAATATGATCATATAAGTGTCGGGGCAAACATACGCTGCAGCGACCGTCCCTACTATGAATATCTAAATGAATAACAATTTTCTAAATTATTTCATGTTATTAAGACAGTGATCTTTATGTTATAGTGGCGTTATTTTATATGTAGAATCCATAGCTTATTATAAATAGTAATAAGTTTTGATAAGCAAGTAAATTTGATAAATAAATGTTTGCAGTACCTGGAAACAAAACATCAATTCGTAATAGGGTGTCTCATACACGGGAAAATCAACCCACATTTTGAACACCAATTCCCTTTCTGTTTTATTCCCTCCTCTGTTCGCTGTAATTCGAATTAAAATTTGGTTAGATCAAATTTGAGAAGTCGGAGATTTCCATATTCCTTAATTTTTACATATCTTACACTTTACAGGTTACATTCTTAATTCTGGAAAATGGACGGTTTGGACATTTGAGACCTCAAGAATTTAGAGGTTTAAAAAGTTAACAAAAATTTAGATAATTGTCGAGTGCAAACGTTACACAATTTAAAATTTTTTTAATTCTGAATCTTAATGCTGAGAATTGCCAACTGTCAAATTTAGAAATTTGGTCATTTGCAAATTTGGAAATGATAAATTTCTAAACTTTGAAATTGCACAGTTCTTGAATTCTCAAATTGTTCTTGATAAATTGGATCTTCGGAAATTAAAAAATGTATAAAATCATACAACTGCAAAGTTACAGAATTATAAAGTGTACGTTCATATTAAAAATGATTACATCTACTCACCCATGAGGGGTACAGAGCCGTAACCAAACATAATTGCTATAGTAACGGATACAACGTAATAAACCCAGTATTTACTAAGCGTCCTATACTTTTCGATAATCGCCCATTCTTCAGGAGAATAATTATAGTGCCAAAAATGTCGTTGCGCGAATGCAACTAGATCTGCTAAGTCAAATCTGCGATACCGCAAAATTGCCACCTTGCACATTCCCAAACACATGAGCAAGAGATTGCAGATGGAATATGAGCAATACTGAAATTAACAGATTTATTTCTCAGAAAAGTAACGCTGCTAGCTTCTGAGGAATTTCCTCAGAAACAGGTGTGGTACTACAAAACTAATTTAGACGTTCATAAACTAAATTAGACAATAAATGTTTCTAACGAAGGCGTTTATAACAAATGTCTTTAATAGAGACATTCATAACGAATGTCTTTAATGAGGAGATTTATAACCAATGTCTTCAACAAAGAAAATGTCTTAGTCTGCCATTTTTATAATAAATATCGTTGACGAATGTAGTCGTGTGATCTTATATTCATATATATGAATATATTAAAAATGTATACGAAAAATATGTATGAATATATTCATATTAAATTTAAAACAAAGAAGTTTACTAAAAGCTTGTTCAAGAAGGACGTGGCATGGCTACTTACACTCAAATCATGGCCCCAAAAGTGCTTAACATTCACGCTGTTCACATAAACGCCAGAAAGAATCACTAAGCCAGTATGAAGCAAACCAATTTTCCTTCTTATCTCATCGGCGTCACTCTCCGTGAAATAAGCACCAGTGAATTTCAAGAAATACGTCGCCGCCGTGACGGAAAAGTCTGTGTACACCCTATCCACCATGGTTCTCTTTGACTTCTGATCTCCCAAAGAGTGACATGCAGCCTTCGGTAAAAACTTTTAACGAAGAAGATTGATATGACTCCGCTGTAATTAACAGTCTCGCCGGCGCGGTGGCGGTGTGAAAAACCAGTCGCGATGGATTTAATTCCGCTTTCCAGTTACAGCGCCGATTGCGAAAATAATTATACGATCGCGCGGTAAATTATTAACGAGTTAACAGCTGCACGTTTACTGGGCGCTGGACTTTCAATCAACAGCCATGCTATATGGGAGGTGTTCGAGGGTTGTTAGACGGTGCGAATACTGCGTGCGGGATAGAGTAATCGATCGAGCAATGTAGTGTGATATGTAAGGAGCGAATGTGAAGTCATGAGTTGGAGCCTGAGGTGGATAAGAATATTTAAAGCTACGGCACAATCGGTCAGAAGAGCGAATTGGACGCCTCACACGTATTTTCGTCGGTCGCAATTGCCAGAAAGAAAAGTTCTACTTTTCTCAATATCGAGGCTTTCAAATTTCTTATAGGTAAATTCCTACTAATTTAAATTTCTGTTAATAGTAAAATTGCTAATAGGTAATTTGATTGTGGAAGATATGGATATGATCGAAAATTAGAAAAATTTATATTACACATAGTTTTACGTTTTGTGAAATGGTTTATTACATTACAATATGTGCCGCTGAAACAGATTAATAATAATTGTTTCGTCTATTACTCGCTCTCACTTCCCGAGATGGAGTTCCTCATCAGTGTGAAGTAGGAAAATGTAGAACTTAATAGCTGAAAAGAAATTCCGTTAGAATAATTCAATAACAGAAATTATGATGTACCTAACCTAACCTCACATAATAACTAACCTTACACATAGTTTCCTGACACAAATCTGTTTAAACTTCAAATCTAGTCTAACTACCCTAACCTGACACATGATTTCATCAAAAAAACCTATCTTCTTTAAACCTAACCTCTCCATATGGTTCACCATTTCTCAGATTTAACTCTTCCCTAATTTCTGTTTAGGTAAAATTGAACGCCGAAGTGATAATAAAAGTTAAAAGTGATAAATGTGAAAATTCAGCAAAAGCACATTGCACGAAGTATCACTGTCAAAGTGGAATAATACGATGAGGATGTTACCGTGGTAAAAGTTTTTAGGGAGACTGGAAAAAATCCACCAGCAGTTAGACAACACGGTCTCATTGTCCTCATCATTACAATTATGATTTTTGATCGTATCGATTTACCAATCTGATCCATTGGCAAAGTGCTCCATGATCCGAAATATATAATAGTAGAAATCTTCGAGCTTTCTTCCGTCAAACCGCTGCAGCAGAATGTGAAGATACCAAGATGGATGAAACTACCGGCTACGTGGAATATGAAAGTGCATCGTCTTGCGAGAGGTGCGTTTGACTGCAATATAAGTAAAATGTAAGTATATTCGTACGTAATTGCTAAAATAATTTATGGTGTATTAAATTTCTAAACCTATGAAACCTACTCTCTATATCTCCAAATTTTGATGTTCACAAATTCCCAATTTAGTTTAATTAATTTATTTTCAATTACCATTGTTAATTTCAAATTATCGAATAACTGAGTAGAAAACTATCTCCAAATTTTGAAGTCCACAAATTCCCAATTTAGTTTAATTAATTTATTTTCAATTACCATTGTTAATTTCAAATTATCGAATAACTGAGTAGAAAAATTTCTAAATTTGGTAATTTAGAAGCGATTGAACTTGATAATTTAAAATGAGAAACCGATAATTTGATAATTAATTCAGCTACCAGTGCCAAAGTATGTATCGAGATATACGTACCAGGAGTATTTCGTAGCCGTCGAATCCCATTAATACACTGAATATCGCTACGTGTATTAAAAGCGTGCGCGAAAAAACATGTTCCATATTTTCACAGAACTCGATGAGCGATTGATACTCGTTAACACACTTTCTGAGATCTTCGGAACATTGAATAGCGTATTTGGTTGCATCCGTATTTCCGTTGTTGCGCTTCCAGAGACGCAACATTCTATAGTGCAGCATCCGAAACTGGTAAATGACATGCAGATTCAGGATGCACAACAGTGTGTCGGGACTGACATACGCTGTACCGACTAGGAATACCGATATAATCTGTTTGAATAATAATTTACAAGTAATTACTTATTAAAGTACTAGTACTTATTTAATGTATAATTACTTGGTGTTTAAAATAAGGAAATTTAAGTCTTAATTATTCCATCAAACTTCCATATTAAATACTATGGACGTGCCTTCAGGGATAGAATAACTCGTGATGATAGAGCGCGTGGCAATGTAACGTGTGAATGGCGATATAACACGAGGTTGTGATGCATGGACTATACAGCACAAGGTAATACGAACGGAGATATAATATGCACACAATATAACACGTGGACAATACAACCTCAGACAATATAACATACGGCCATATAACACGAGGTGATATTACTCGTGGAAAATCGAATGCGTTAGAATTCAACTAAGTGGTGATACGACGCATGTCTATATGATTCGTAGATAATACAACGCATGGCGATTTAACGCGTTGCAATATAACGCGAGTTAACGTAACGCTTGGCACTATAACGCGTGCCAATATAGCGCGAGTCAATGTAATCAGTGCGAACACAATACTAGGTGATATGACACTTGACAATATATTGTATCGATACACGACGCGTAGATATTGCAATGCGTAGTGATATAACGCGTGCGAATACAATACTAGTTGTTATGACACTTGGCAATATAACACGTGGTGACGTATTATGCAGCTATATGACATGCAGACAGTGCATAGTGACATTGTGGCGATACAACGTGTGACTGTTCTAACGCGTGTCGCCTCCACGCACATTAATTTCGATAGTGGCAATATAATGAGAGTTTTACGACTAATTATTACGAGAGTTATTTTACGACTAATAACGAAACTTTACGACACCTGAAAAGTGAACATGAATTCATAATAGGGTGTCTCTGTCGATGGAAAATTGAACCACACATCTAGCGGAAGTATTCTCTCTGATTTATTCTTCCCGATGTTCGCTGCAACGCAAAAGTCACCAAGTGCAATCGTATGTTAATGAAAAGTGTATTTCAAATTTGTTCAAATCGCTAATACCATTTACATTGATGGAACTAATTATTAATTTATTAAAAATGGAACTAAAAAATTTACGAACCAAGTAAATTATTATATAATGAAGGTGTAATGTTTACTTACAAACGATAGGTGTAATCACGTAACCAAACAGAGAAGCTGGCGGAATACTGAGCACAAACATGATGAAATATTTGCAAATCAGACGACATTCAGAAAAAAGCAATTGCTCCTCCGAATTGTAATTCCAATGCCAGAAATGTCGTTCCGCGTCGGCAAGTATGTTCTCTAGCTCTAATCTGCGAATTCGCAGAACGAGTATTTTGGACGCTGCCATAATTGTACAGAGCACGTTACACGATGCATATACACTGTACTGTAATTAGAAATTTCATAATCAATTATTACACAAATATTATTAGGGTTTGGAAACTTTGAGGATTCAGGATTTTGGAAATATAGAGAATTCAAGATTTTGGAAATTTTGAGAATTCCAGATTTTGGAAGTTTAACATTCAAAAGTATTATAATTTGAAAATTTAACGAATTTAGAAAAATTGCAAATTTTACTGTTTTAGAATTCTTGATTTCATGAACTTTCAAGTTTCAACCCATTTTAATTTTCAAGTGTGAAAATATTAGAATTTGAGAATTTAGGAGTCAAGGAATTTTTATGACCTGAAATCTTTCAAGGTTAAAAATTGTTATTTTCAAATTTTTTAACCTTCAAATTTTTTAACCTGTCACCTTGCCAACCATGAAAAACTTTCCTGAATTCTGAAAGGATCATTCAAACCTGACACAGTCTACTTACACTCTTATCATTTTCCCAGTAATGATAAATATTAACAAAGTTCTCGTACACGCTATACGAAACCGTTAATCCCAGACAAAACAGCGCAATGTTAAGTTGAAGTTCTTCTTGCTTGTTCGTCGCAAAGCAAGCTCCTGCGAATTTCAGCAAAAGCTTTGCAGTTTCGATCGAGAAATCTGTATACACCATAATGATCAAACGACTAGTCTCTGTTTGTGACATACAATATTACACCAAAATCACTTAAACTTTTAATTCAGAACTGTTAAATCACTACTTAACGAAAGTCTAACATTTTCGATTAAAAAGTATACACTCGTTCACGCGTTCCGTCGCGTAATACGAGTTTTTCGATGCAGAGGTGGATATACACTGATCGATGGATGAATTATGAAAACGTCGTAAAACCATCATTTTTGTAGACTTACCTTATTAGCACGAAGTGATTATTTTAGACATCTACTAGACTGAGGGGTAGAACAGCAAATAAAATAAAAATTGACGGTTTCCATGCGCGGAAACTTTCAAAGTTTGCCAGCTTTGAATGTAGAACGCTGCTCCTCTAATCAAAAATGTCACGAAGGAATTGAGTGACACCGTTGTACTCATGGCGAAACCAGCCGTGCATTGTATGGAGTCTGCCACTCCGCACCATCGGTTGTAGCATATAGGGTGAATATAGAAACGATCACGTGCTGATTGATCGATAAATTATACGTGCTACAACAGTGTGATTATCGTGTTCCTTGGATCTCCACGTCGCAGTGATCAGTATTCAACCAACTTTTGAAGTGGTCGAGATAGAGTTGCGTGAGGCGACTCGAAGTGGAAACCCATCGTGAACATTTGTAGTTACACTTCGACTAATGAGAATGATAACTGCTGAACGCAAGTAGCACTTGAGAGACGTTTGCCTGTTTTTCGCCTAATTGGCGACCGCGAGAGCCAATGTACCGCCGAAAATACGTGTGAGGCCATTTTTCTAGTCTGACCCATTGGAGTGGCGCTTCTAAACACCACGCGCCAACTAGTGGGTTGACATCGGTATGTGGGAATGTGGAATTTGGGGTTTAGAAACGTTGAAGTTGGAGTTTGGATGTTTGCGTATTCAGAAATGTAGAAATTTGAGTGGATGAAAATTTGAAGTTGGATATTTAGAAAAGTGGAACGGGCTTATGGAAATTTGGAAATTTGGATATTTAGAAGGGTAGAAATTTGGGGTTGTGAAAATTTGAAAATTTGGATGGAAGAGTAGTTTCTTGACAAATTTAGATACATAAGAGTAGAAATTTGGTCATCATAGGCATTTGGCAAGCTGGATAATTGTAAGGTTGATAACTGGAAGTCTGATAAATGTAGGCTTGATTTTGCAAGGTTCCCAAATTTCTATGTTGTTCAATTCTCACATCTCAAATTCTATAGCGCCCCAAATCCCTAAATCCCCAAAGTTCTATGTCTCCAAGTCTTTATATTCCCAAATTCCAATACCTTCAAATACCTACATCTCCAAATTGCAAAATTCCCAAATTCTATGTCTCCCAAGTCTCAGATCTCAAATTATGTAACTCCCTAAATTTCTGTATTCCCAGATCCCTAAATTCCCAAATCACTACGTCTTCAAATCTCTATATTCCCAAACTCAGTATTCAGAAATGTAGGTATTCAGAAATGTAGAAATGTATAGAAATTTGAGCGGATGAAAATTTGAAGTTGGATATTTAGAAAAGTGGAACGGGTTTATGGAAATTTGGAAATTTGGATGCTTGGAAGGGTAGATATTTGGGTTTATAGAAATTGGAAAATTTTTACTATTGAATCTTTTATAGACTTAAGTACTACAGAATTGTTCTTAATATTTTCTCTAACATTATTCTTAAATAAATAAATTTTTTAATAAGATTATTGTCATAAAGGTTTGAGGAAATTATATGAAGTAGATCTGTAGAATATCTGCAATTTGTGTTTTAGTATGTTTAAACGTCTTTAATAGTATGAGAGAAAAATTATGTTAATAATTAGGAAATTGAGTATAGTTGACTTGCTAACAAAAAACGCCAGTTTCTTTGTTCCTTATGTTACTGGCTGTCGTTTCTCATGAACCTTTTCCTCATCAGTGTAAAGTAAGAAAATGTAGAGCTTAACAGCTGAAACATAAAATTCATGTCTTGTTAATAAAAAAAATGTTAAAATTGTCAAGGACATAAGTTACCCTAGTTCATATATTTTAGTGGAATTAGCAGCATATACATACATATAAATGTTATATAGTTAGTCAACTAAATTGAAAATTAGAACATATAAAACAATAATTAAATTTTAGAAGAACAAAACAAGTACAAATTCCATCACAAAAGAAACATAAATTTACTTAAAATACACATGTAACAAATAAATTTGTAGGAAAACATTAACATAAATTGCATACCGATGTAGCAGTCTCCAACGACACAGGAAAGAATCCCCCAGCAGTTAAATAGCAAGGCTTCATTGACCTCAGCATAATCAGTCTCACGTTCAACCTTAACATTCTACCAATCTTATTCATTGGCAAAGTGCTCCATGAGCCAAAATATATAGTTGAACAAACGTTCAAACTTTCCTCCATCAAACCATTGCAACAATAGGCGAAAATTATCAGATGTATAAAACTGCCGACTACGTGGAACATGAAAATTGAACGCCTTGCAATTGGGGTGTCTGCCTGTAAATATATATGGTTCGTTGGTAGTGCATGGATCGTGAGTAGTTTTTATGTGAGACTGTTGGTATGTTGCCATATGTGGTTGTGTTCATTTCATATTTTTTTAGTAACTTTATAATTTGTTGATATTCAAATTTTCTAATCTTGTAAATTTCTGATTTACTAATTCACTATTTTTCCAATTTCCCAAATTTCGAATTTTGAATTTCTAAATTTCCCAATTCCCCAAATTTCTAATTTTCTAATTTTCTAATTTTCTAATTTTCTAATTTTCTAATTTTCTAATTTTCTAATTTTCTAATTTTCTAATTTTCTAATTTTCTAATTTTCTAATTTTCTAATTTTCTAATTTTCTAATTTTCTAATTTTCTAATTTTCTAATTTTCTAATTTTCTAATTTTCTAATTTTCTAATTTTCTAATTTTCTAATTTTCTAATTTTCTAATTTTCTAATTTTCTAATTTTCTAATTTTCTAATTTTCTAATTTTCTAATTTTCTAATTTTCTAATTTTCTAATTTTCTAATTTTCTAATTTTCTAATTTTCTAATTTTCTAATTTTCTAATTTTCTAATTTTCTAATTTTCTAATTTTCTAATTTTCTAATTTTCTAATTTTCTAATTTTCTAATTTTCTAATTTTCTAATTTTCTAATTTTCTAATTTTCTAATTTTCTAATTTTCTAATTTTCTAATTTTCTAATTTTCTAATTTTCTAATTTTCTAATTTTCTAATTTTCTAATTTTCTAATTTTCTAATTTTCTAATTTCCCAATTTCTCAATTTCCCAATTTCTCAATTTCCCAACTACCAAATTTCCCAATTTCCCAATTTCCCAATTCCCCAATTCCCCAATTTCCCAATTCCCCAATTTCCCGACTCCCCAATATCTCATATTTACAATTTCCCAATTCTCCAATTTCCCATATTTCCAATTTCCCGATTCCCCAATTTCCTAAATTTCCAATTTCTCAATTTCCCAACTTTCTAATTTTCTAATTTCCCAATTTCTCAATTTCCCAACTTCCCAACTTCCCAGTTTCCCAATTCCCTAATTTTCCAAATTTCCCAAATTTCCCAAATTTCCAATTTCCCGATTCCCCAATATCCCATATTTCCAATTTCCCAATTCCCCAATTTCCCAAATTTCCAATTTCCCGATTCCCCAATATCCCAAATTTCCAATTTCCCCATTTCCCCATTTCCCATTTCCCAATTTCCCAATTTTCCATTTCCCCAGTTTTCCAATTCCCCAATTCCTCAATATCCTCTTAGTAACACTAATACCGCTAATATTATTAAAACCAAACAAAAAATATACGCACCAAAAGTATCTGATAGCAATTAAGTCCCACCAATAAACTGAAAATTACCATATGCCAGAAGATCGTCATAGTGAACACATTTTCAAGCTTCTCACAGAATAAAATAAGTGACTGATGCAGTCGTACACACTCTTTCATAGCCGCAGAGCAGTGATTGACATATTCGAGTGAATCTTCCTGTTTATTTTCACAAACCCAACAGTTCATTATTTTCCATTGCAACATGCGAAATTGGGAGATTACGTGCATGTTGAGGATGCACAGGAAGGTGTCTGGGCAAATGTACGCGACGCCAAGTGTGAGCACACATAACACCTGAACAAAGTTTTGCAAAATATTTTAAAACCTTGTATTTCATGAGGTAGATCACACAAATTATCTTCAAGAATGAATTTTAAACAAAATATTATTTAAATATAATGAAAATTCTGTTTGCAAAATTAGTTGAATGATTTTAACATTTAATATAGAGTGCTTCAATTGAAGTGAAAATAGTATGTTTTTAGGAGAATTTATTCTGTTTTAGGAGAGATGTTTTATTGTGGATGTAAATAACGTGATATAAGTATGGAATTGTAAGGGTCATTTTAAATGCAGCACCTTGTATTTGATATAGTAACTGCAATAAGAATATTTTCTTTATTAATGTTAGTTACCTGGAAAGTGAATATTAATTCAAAATATGGCGTCTCGGTTAGAGGCAAATCTGACCTGATTTCTAGTGGAAATTCCCTGTCCGATTTATTTCTACCAATGTTATCTGCAATGAAGATCAACAACAATATATGTGTCAATACAATCGAAATAGATCATTCTATCACTAAACTCAACGACGTAAAATATTCATTCAAATGACTAGTGTAATGAGCGAACTCGTAAGTTGGCATTGATTACTAATGTTTCTTCCACATGAGTCAATATACTCACAGACGATAGGTGTTGTCACGTAACCAGAAATCGAAGCTGGCAGAATACAAAATACAAAGATGATCCACAGTTTGCAGAACCTTTGACACTTGGCGAAGATCAGTTGTTCTTCAAAGCTGTAATTATAGTGCCAAAAATGGCGCTCGGCGTATACCACTACGTCCGCGAGTTCGAGTCTACGGATCCGCAAAACAATCACTTTCGATATAGCCATAGTTATGATAAGTAAGTTACTCATGCCGAACACGCAACACTGAAATCGGAAAATTTGTGGTCTTTGGAGAGAAAATTGAAAATTCAAGAATCTGGAAATTTGGGAAAATTTGTACATTCTGATACTAGGGAATGTTTACAGATTTGGTGATTTTAAAGCTTTCGTCCTTAGAAGAAAATTAATAAATTTGTTCCTCGAAAATGTACAAAATTAAAACTTTGTATCACGCGTCCACTTAGACCCTTCACTAATAAAATTTATTAACGATTACTCACGCTCATATCATGACCCCAGTAGTGATTAATATTCACCACATTGACATACACGCAGTACAACGCCGTATAAAAGACCCACAACAACGCGGCCAACCGTTGTCGTTCCTCGCTACCGTCCATCGTGAACCAAACCCCGGCGAATTTCAAAAAGAACTTCGCTGTAACGATAGAAAGATCTGAATATATCCCCTGATTCATGTTGCTCTACAAAGTACAGATCTCTCAGCTCGCGACGTATAAACCACGGGTACCACGAACAAGTAGAGTGACATGACACTGCTGTAATCAGCAGAGACCCTTCGCTTTCCTCCGCGAAAGACATGTCACTTTTCAGTCGCACCTCGCCACTGTAGCAATAATTGTAGCAATGATTAGAGACTCTTCCCCCGATTAATTATGCATTCGATCATAGCTACGCGATTGGATTTTCTTCCGATTGGAGATACTCCTTGCAACGGATCGATTCTGACTTCGTTCGGTGTTCTGTTTTATATTTTTCTGTAAGTGCTTCACTGAGGGTGCGAAAAGAGGGTGTCTGTGGGGGTGCAGTGACCGAAGTGGCTAAGTGCAAAGTTGTGTGTGGAATGAAGAAAAGTATATGTGGGAGTATAAATTTGATAAAATATATACTTATGATGATGAAGTGCGTAATATGATGAAATATATACATAGGTAAGATGATAAGTAGAAGATGAATTTAATGTAAGACTTGAGGTCATGTCAAGATTTGAGGGTTTGCGAAATTAGGAATTTGATGATTTGAGAATGTTGGGATTGTAGGATTTGAGGATTTGAGTAATTTTGAATTTGCTGATTTGAGAGTTTGGATGTGTTGAGGGATTTAGATATGTATGGATTTGGTAATGTAAGAATTTTTTCATACAGAGATTTGGGAATACAGAGATTTGGGAATATAGAGAGTTGGAAATATAAAGATTTGGGAATGCAGAGATTTGGAAATACAGATGTTTGGAAATATAGAAATTTGGGAATATAGAGATTTGGAAATACAGAGATTTGGGAACATAGAGATATGGAAATATAGAGATTTGGAAATATAGAGATTTGGGAACATAGAGATTTGGGAGTACAGAGATTTGGAAATATAGAAATTTGGGAACATAGAGATTTGGGAATACAGAGATTTGGGAATACAGAGATTTGGGAAGACTGAGATTTGGAAATATAGAGATTTGGAAATATAGAGATATGGAAATACAGAGATTTGGGAACATAGAGATTTGGGAATACAGAGATTTGGGAATACAGAGATTTGGGAAGACAGAGATTTGGAAATATAGAGATTTGGAAATATAGAGATTTGGGAACATAGAGATTTGGGAGTACAGAGATTTGGAAATATAGAAATTTGGGAACATAGAGATTTGGGAATACAGAGATTTGGGAATACAGAGATTTAGAAATATAGAGATTTGGAAATACAGAAATATCAGCATATAGTGATTTATATTGTATCTGCAGATATCAACCTTTAGAAGTAACTTCTTTTACTTTAGGTCGACCTCACGCACCAGCTCATAGGTTGACATCGGTACTTCGTTTCCATTTTCCATACACCAAAGTGGTTTCGGAAATTTTTTTATGCAGTAATCAACGCAACTATGTACCAACAGTGAAATAGAAGGTATCAACACATTTTGGTTTTGGTTGATGAATTTAAAAAATTGCATTTTAAATAACTTCAGTGTTTGAAATTCAGCAGAAATGCAAATGGTAAAATTAACGAACGACTACATATTTTTGGGAAATAAATGATATCCTCGACATGACATCGATTTTATTTGTGCGTTTCGTCAATTTGATTGTCTTCAATCTGTTACAGACTTAAATAACACAGAGTCGTTCTTAATACTTTGGCTGGTGTCTTAGATAAATAAGTTTTATAGTAAGATTATTGTCATAAAGCTTGGAGAAAATGTATGAAGTATCTGCCATTTGTGTTTTAGTATGTTTGAATGTCTTTAATAGTTTGAGAGAAAAATCATGGTAAAGTGTAGAGTTGAATCTTTGAAATTACGTATAACTGATTTACAAACAGAAAGCGTCATTTTCTTTATTCTTTGTGTTACTGGTTGTCGTTTCTCAAGAACCTTTCCCTCATCAGGGTAAAGTACGAAAATGTAGAACTTAACAGCTGAAACAGAAAATTCATATCTTATTAATATTAAGTGTTCAAATTGTTAAGAATAAAAGTTACTATAGTTCCTATATCTTAATGGAATTTATTTGAACCAGCATAAAAAGCTATTTAAAATATTAGTAGCATGTAAATAAATTTTATTCAGTTAGTTAACTAAATTGAAAATTAGAACATATAAAACAATAATTAAATTTTAGAAGAACAAGTACAAATTCCATCAACAAATGAAACATAAATTTACTTAAAATACACATGTGATAAATGAATTTATAGAAAAGCATTAACATAAATTACATACCGATGTAGCAGTCTCCAACGACACAGGAAAGAATCCGCCAGCAGTTAAATAACAAGGCTTCATTGACCTCAGCATAATCATTCTCACGTTCAACCTTAACATTCTACCAATCCTATTCATTGGCAAAGTGTTCCATGACCCAAAATATATAGTTGAACAAACGTTCAAGCTTTCCTCCATCAAACCATTGCAACAATAGGCGAATATTATCAGGTGTACAAAACTGCCGATTACGTGGAACATGAAAATTGATTTCCTTGCAAAAGGGGTGTCTGCCTGTAAATATATATGGTTTGTTGGTATTGCATTGGTGATAAGAAGTTTTTATGCGAAACTTTAGGTATATTGCCACATGTGGATGTGTTCATGCTATCCTTCTAGTAATTTCATAAGTTAGTGATTTCCCAATTTCTAATTCTCTAAATTTCTGAATTACTTATTCACTCTTTTTTCAGTATTCTGATTTTCTAATACAGTAATTTACTAATTCTCTGATTTTCTAATTTGGTGATTTACTAATTTTATAGTTTTATTGTCCATTTTCCTAATTTTCTAGTTCTCTAATTTGCCAATTTGCTAATTTTTAATTTCCCAGTTTGCTAATTTCCCAAATTCTCAATTTCCCAATTTCCTATTTCCCCTATTCCTCAATTCCCCTATTCCCCAATTCCCCCATTCCCCGATTTCCCGATCTCGAAAATTTACGAATTTCTAAATTTCCCAATTTCCCAACTTTCTAATTTTCTAATTTTCTAAATTCTCAATTTCCCAACTACCAAATTTCCCAATTTCCCAATTCCCTAATTTTCCAAATTTCCAATTTCCCGATTCCCCAATATCCCATATTTCCAATTTCCCAACTTCCTAATTTCATAATTTCCTAATTTCCCAACTTCCCAGTTTGCTAATTTCCCAAATTCTCAATTTCCCAATTTCCTATTTTCCCAATTCCCCAATTTCCCGATCTCGAAAATTTCCGAATTTCCCCATTTCCCCAATTTCCCAAGTTTCTAATTTCCAAATGTCCCAATTTCTCAGCTTGCTACTTTCCTAATTTCCCAAATTCCAATTATTCCATTTCCTAATTCCCCAATTTCTCAATCCCAAAAATTCCTAATTTCCTAATTCTCTAATTTCCTAATTTCCTAATTTCCTAATTTCCTAATTTCCTAATTTCCTAATTTCCTAATTTCCCAACTTCCTAATTTCCCAACATTCTAATTTCCTAATTTCCTAATTTCCTAATTTCCTAATTTCCTAATTTCCGAATTTCCTAATTTCCCAACTTCCCAATTTCCCAAATTCCCAATTTCCCAATAGTAACAATAATATTACAGTTACAACAGTACGATCGGTGGCAATATAACGAGACTCTACTGTATTCACACTAACACCGTACCTAATTACACGTAAAATTAGTCCAAATTACAAAATATACGCACCAATAGTATTATATAGCAATTGAGTCCCACCAACAAACTGAAAATTACCATATGCCAGAAGATCGTAAAAGTAAACACATTTTCGAGTTTTTCACAGAATAAAATAAGTGACTGATGCTGTCGTACACACTCCTTCATAGCTGCAGAGCAGTGATTAACATATTCGAGTGTGTCTTTCTGTTTATTTTCGCAAACCCAACAGTTCATTATTCTGTATTGCAGCATGCGGAATTGGGAGACGACGTGCATGTTGAGGATGCACAAGATGGCGTCTGGGCAAATGTACGCGACACCAAGTGTGAGCACACATATGGTCTGAACAAATTTTTGTAAAATATTATAAATCACTTGTATATCATATAAATTATATTCAAACATGAATTTTAAACAAAATGTTATTTAAATATAATGAAAATTTTGTCTGCAAAATTAATTAAATGATTTGAACATTTAATACAGGGCGCTACATTTGAAGTGAAAATAGTATATTTTTAGGAGAATTTATTCTGTTTTAAGAGAGATATTTTACTGTGAATGTATATAACGTGATATAAGTATGTAATTGTAAGGGTCATTTTAAATGCAGCACCCTGTATTTGATATAGTAAATGCAATGAGAATATTTTCTTAGTTAATGTTGATTACCTGGAAAGTGAATATTAGTTCAAAATATGGCGTCTCGGTTATAGGCAAATCTGATCTAATTTCTAGTGGAAATTCCCTGTCCGATTTATTTCTACCAATGTTATCTGTGTTATAAATATATGTGTCAATATATTCGAAGTATCAATAACCCTAACAATATATAATGTTCATTCAACTGACTAATGTCTTCACGCACCAACTCATTGGTTAACATCGGTATTAATATTTTCTCATCATAATTATATGCAAAAATAATTTTGAGCAGATTGAAATTAATTTACTTACTCACGATAGGTGTAGTCATATAACCGGACATCGAAGCTGGAAGAATGCAAAATAGAAACATGATCCATATCTTACAGAACTTTCTGCACTTGGCGAAGATCAATTGTTCTTCGGAGTCGTAATTATAGTGCCAAAAATGGCGCTCGGCGTATATCACTACGTCCGCGAGTTCGAGTCTGCGGATCCGTAAAACAATCACTTTCGATATAGCCATAGTTATGATAAGTAAGTTACTCATGCCGAACACGCAACACTGAAATCGGAAAATTTGTGGTCTTTGGAGAGAAAATTGGAAATTCAAGAATCTGGAAATTTGGGAAAATTTGTACATTCTGATACTAGGGAATGTTTACAGATTTGGTGATTTTAAAGCTTTCGTCCTTAGAAGAAAATTAATAAATTTGTTCCTCGAAAATGTGCAAAATTAAAACTTTGTATCACGCGTCCACTTAAACCCTTCACTAATAAAATTTATTAACGATTACTCACGCTCATATCATGACCCCAGTAGTGACTGATATTCTTCACATTGACAACCACGCAGTACAATCCCGTGTAAAAGACCCACAACAACGCGACCAACCGTTGTCGTTCCTCAGCATCGTCCATCGTGAACCAAACCCCGGCCAATTTCAAAAAGTACTTGGCTGTAACGATAGAAAGATCTGAATATATCCCTTGATTCATGTTGCTCTACAAAGTACAGATCTCTCAGCTCGCGACGTATAAACCACGGGTACCACGAACAAGTAGAGTGACATGACACTGCTGTAATCAGCAGAGACCCTTCGCTTTCCTCCGCGAAAGACATGTCACTTTTCAGTCGCACCTCGCCACTGTAGCAATAATTGTAGCAATGATTAGAGACTCTTCCCCCGATTAATTATGCATTCGATCATAGCTACGCGATTGGATTTTCTTCCGATTGGAGATACTCCTTGCAACGGATCGATTCTGACTTCGTTCGGTGTTCTGTTTTATATTTTTCTGTAAGTGCTTCACTGAGGGTGCGAAAAGAGGGTGTCTGTGGGGGTGCAGTGACCGAAATGGCTATGTGCAATGTTGCGTGTAGAATGAATGAAGGTGTATATGGTAGTATATACGAAGGTCAATACAATATACATACACTTATAATGATGAAGTACATAAAACGAGAAAATATATACAACGTGAGATGGTGAATGTATGTACATAAAGTAGTAAAGTACATACTAGCTTAGTAAAATTATATACCACCTGTGATATGGTAGAATATCATTGATTGATTGTAATAGAAATATTAATTTACAACAAAATGGGGACAAGAGAGGCGCAACGTAGTTCGTAATATATGTGCTGTATTTTACTGTGCGTAAGTTTACCTACAAAGTACAGACATAGCAGTCAAATTTTCTATACATTTAAAAATATTCACACACTATCTTCAACCAGTTTTTTTTGGGTTCATCAATATACATATGTGCACATGTACGTCGACTTGGACACGTGTCTATTCGTCCTCGTCTTTCGTAAATGAATTCCTCATCAACGTGAAGTAGGAAAATGTGGAACTTAAAATCTGTGAACAAGAAGAATTATCTGATAAATCAAGAAACTGCAAATGATATTAGACATTAGTTATTAAACGGATCGGCAGATATTAAGTATTAATGAATTATTTTTTGTGATTTGCAATTGACAAATATAAAAAATTAAAAATTTGCAAGTAGGTAGGGAACACATTAAAAGGCAGGATTGGAGCGTAAGTACGTACCGTAGTAAAAGTTTCTAGGGAAACAGGGAAAAATCCTGCGGCCGTTATACAGCACGGTTTCATTGCTCTGATCATAATGAACATCATTGCTGTTCTCAACGATCTGCCACTCTGATTCATCGGTAGACTAGACCAGGATCCTCCATACGCCGCTCTAACAATGTTTGAGCTTTCCTCCATCATGTAATGGCAGCTGCATGTGAGAATGCATAGGTGGCCTAGACTGCCCAGCATGTGGAATATGAAAATAAGGCGCATGGCGTTACCTGGGTTTGCCTGTACAATATAAGATTTTGAAGATACAGGACTTTGGGGATTTAGGAATTTGGGGAGATATATACACTTTAAAATCTGAACATTGAGCAACATAGGAATTTGGGAACCTTGCAAAATCAAGCTTACACTTATCAGACTTCCAGTTATCAAGCTTACAATTGTCCAGCTTGCCAAATGCCTATGATGACCAAATTTCTACTCTTAAATATCTAAATTTGTCAAGAAATTACCCTTCCACCCAAATTTTCAAATTTCCACAACATGGCTATGTGCAATGTTGCGTGTAGAATGAATGAAGGTGTATATGGTAGTATATACGAAGGTCAATACAATATACATACACTTATAATGATGAAGTACATAAAACGAGAAAATATATACAACGTGAGATGGTGAATGTATGTACATAAAGTAGTAAAGTACATACTAGCTTAGTAAAATTATATACCACCTGTGATATGGTAGAATATCATTGATTGATTGTAATAGAAATATTAATTTACAACAAAATGGGGACAAGAGAGGCGCAACGTAGTTCGTAATATATGTGCTGTATTTTACTGTGCGTAAGTTTACCTACAAAGTACAGACATAGCAGTCAAATTTTCTATACATTTAAAAATATTCACACACTATCTTCAACCAGTTTTTTTTGGGTTCATCAATATACATATGTGCACATGTACGTCGACTTGGACACGTGTCTATTCGTCCTCGTCTTTCGTAAATGAATTCCTCATCAACGTGAAGTAGGAAAATGTGGAACTTAAAATCTGTGAACAAGAAGAATTATCTGATAAATCAAGAAACTGCAAATGATATTAGACATTAGTTATTAAACGGATCGGCAGATATTAAGTATTAATGAATTATTTTTTGTGATTTGCAATTGACAAATATAAAAAATTAAAAATTTGCAAGTAGGTAGGGAACACATTAAAAGGCAGGATTGGAGCGTAAGTACGTACCGTAGTAAAAGTTTCTAGGGAAACAGGGAAAAATCCTGCGGCCGTTATACAGCACGGTTTCATTGCTCTGATCATAATGAACATCATTGCTGTTCTCAACGATCTGCCACTCTGATTCATCGGTAGACTAGACCAGGATCCTCCATACGCCGCTCTAACAATGTTTGAGCTTTCCTCCATCATGTAATGGCAGCTGCATGTGAGAATGCATAGGTGGCCTAGACTGCCCAGCATGTGGAATATGAAAATAAGGCGCATGGCGTTACCTGGGTTTGCCTGTACAATATAAGATTTTGAAGATACAGGACTTTGGGGATTTAGGAATTTGGGGAGATATATACACTTTAAAATCTGAACATTGAGCAACATAGGAATTTGGGAACCTTGCAAAATCAAGCTTACACTTATCAGACTTCCAGTTATCAAGCTTACAATTGTCCAGCTTGCCAAATGCCTATGATGACCAAATTTCTACTCTTAAATATCTAAATTTGTCAAGAAATTACCCTTCCACCCAAATTTTCAAATTTCCACAACCCCAAATTTCTACCCTTCTAAATATCCAAATTTCCAAATTTCCATAAACCCGTTCCACTTTTCTAAATATTCAACTTCAAATTTTCACAAACCCAAATTTCTACCCTTTTAAATATCCATATTTACAAATTTCCATAAACCCGTTCCACTTTTCTAAATATCCAACTTCCAATTTTCATCCGCTCAAATTTCTACATTTCTACATTTCTGAATACTGAGTTTGGGAATATAGAGATTTGAAGACGTAGTGATTTGGGAATTTAGGGATCTGGGAATACAGAAATTTAGGGAGTTACATAATTTGAGATCTGAGACTTGGGAGACATAGAATTTGGGAATTTTGCAATTTGGAGATGTAGGTATTTGAAGGTATTGGAATTTGGGAATATAAAGACTTGGAGACATAGAACTTTGGGGATTTAGGGATTTGGGGTGCTATACAATTTGAGATGTGAGAATTGGACAACGTAGAAATTTGGGAACCTTGCAAATTCAAGCTTACATTTATCAGACTTCCAGTTATCAACCTTACAATTATCCAGCTTGCCAAATGCCTATGATGACCAAATTTCTACTCTTAAATATCTAAATTTGTCAAGAAATTACCCTTCCACCCAAATTTTGAAATTTCCATAACCCCAAATTTCTACCCTTCTAAATATCCAAATTTCCAAATTTCCATAAACCCGTTCCACTTTTCTAAATATCCAACTTCAAATTTTCATCCGCTCAAATTTCTACATTTCTGAATACGCAAACATCCAAACTCCAACTTCAACGTTTCTAAACCCCAAACTGTCAAACCCTAAATTCCACATTCCCACATACCGATGTCAACCCACGAGTTGGCGCGTGGTGTTTAGAAGCGCCACTCCAATTGGTCAGAACAGAATAATGGCCTCACACGTATTTTCGGCGGTATATTGTCTCTCGCGGTCGCCAATTAGGCGAAAAACAGGCAAACGTCTCTCAAGTGAGGTGCTTGCGTTCAGCAGTTGTCATTCTCATTTGCCGAAATGTAGCTACAAATGTTCACGGTGGGCTTCTTTTGCTTTCACGCGCCAACTCGTAATATCTGTACATTTATATATTATACGTACCAAAAGTATCTCATACCAGTCGAGACACATTAACACACTTACGATCGTCACGTGTATAAAGATTGTCGTTGAGTACACACTTTCCATCATGTTACAGAACACAATAATCAATTGATGTTGCCGAATACATTTCTTCAAAGCCATGTAGCATTCTTCGGTATACTTTTCAGGATCTGAATCCTTGCATACAATGTTCCAGAAATTTAACATTCTATATTGCAAGATGCGAAATTGACCTACTGCGTGAACGTTTAATAGGCACATGAGTATGTCAGGGCAAACGTATCCCATTCCAATTATGTACACGCAGACGGACTGGAGGAATAATTATTTATTACATTAACATGTGTAATTATATATTATTAATTATTACATTAACATGTGTAATTATGCACTATTAATTATTACATTAATATCTGTAGTTATATACTATTAATTATTACGTTAATATGTGTATCCATAATATTATGTGATACTGGGAATATTAGAGGATTCTGTGGGGAAATCTGGTAACATAGGGTCAGGAAATTTTAATAGTACTATCAAGGTTTCTTGAAATTTGCAAAAATTTGTAATTTGTAAAAGCTTGCAAGTTTGGGAGGATAAGTATTTAAATTATGAGGATAGTGTGAGTAGTTGAGAGTTTGAGAATTTGAGAATTTGAGGGATTGAGAATTTGAGGGTTTGAGAATTTGAAGGTCTGAAAATTTGAAGGTTTGAGAATTTGAGGGTTTGAAAATTTGGGGGTTTGAGAATTTGAAGGGTTGAGAATTTGAGGGTTTGGGAATTTGAGAGTTTGAGAATTTGAGGGTTTGAGAATTTGAGGGTTTGAAAACTTGAGAATTTGAGAATTTGAGGGTTTGAGAATTTAAGAATTTGAGAATTTGAGAATTTGAGAATTTGAGAAGTTGAGAAGTTGAGAAGTTGAGAATTTGAGAAGTTAGGGATTTGAGGGTTTGAGGGTTTGAGGGCTTGAGAATTTGAGAACTTGAGAATTTGAGAACTTGAGAATTTGAGAACTTGAGAATTTGGGAAAATCACTCTTGGAAAATCACAATTCTAAGGATTTGGAAATAAAGAACTCCGGAATCTAAAAAATTAGAAATTCAAGTTGATTGAAAGCAAAAATTCACTATACCTGAAAAGTGAACATAAGCTCATAATAAGGTGTCTCATTTACCGGCCAATCAACCCACATTTTAAACGGAAGCATTCTATCCGACTTATTTCTCCCCAAATTTTCTGCAAAACACAAAACTAAATATATCCACAGATTAAAAAATTTGCGAATCAAAATGCTACAAAACATCTCCACTGTATAAAAATATACAGGTCAAGACTTTTTATCACAGTAGAGAAAAATTGTCAAAAATGGCAGTAGATAATGGTGGATCTAGAGAGCGTAGACCCCATCTAGCGACAGCGAGTTATACTAATATGTTCACATGTCAATTTACTTACCAAAAATAGGTGTAATCACGTAGCCGGTCAAAGATGTCGACGGAACAGAGAACACGAAAATAACAAACCATGTGGAATACTTGACACACATTTTGAAGATATGTCGTTCTTGTGGATTATAATCGTTGTTCCAAAAGTGTTGCTGAGCGTAGACGAGTATCTTCGCGATCTGAACTCTGCGAGCTTGTAGGATGAACATTTTTATCATCGTCATTACGATACACGTTGTGTTGATTATCAGAAATATACGGTGCTGAAATAAATTAATGGATATGTGGAACTAGAAAATCTAATGAAATACAATTTACTAATGAATTTAGTAAAATTCTAAAAAAATATTGAAAATCTGATTCGAGGAGAAAATTGAAAAATCTGATGACAATATTATATTGGAAAATCTATCGAAGTATATTGAAGAATCTGCTAAAATTCCAAAATCAGAAGAATGCAGTGAAGCTTTAAAGTTAGAAAGTCTATTGAAATTTGTAAATTAAGAAATGTGGTAAAATTCAAAAATCGAAGAAAATCAATTTGAAAACGTATACCTGGAAGAAACTAAAACTGGTGGAAGCTGTACATAGGTAGAAATAAATTGAAAAAAATGAAACATATGGAAATTAGACCTGGACAAACCTAAACCTATAAAATATTATTTCAACAGAAATTATATTTGTAGGAGCTTGAACCTACAAAGAATTAATCCTAAAAAAGTAGATCCAAAAAACCTAAAACCCCAAAACTATCCACAAGCTAACAAAAATATCCATAGCTCCACAAAATATGGCCACTTCAATAAATGTGATAGGAAATTTATAAACGGCACCCAGAAGTAAACCAGAAAATTGCTGACTTACACTCAAGTCATTCGAAGTATGATAATAGTCCACAGTGTTCACATAAACCCCATAAATGAACGCAATAGCGGTGTACAGTATAGAAATTTTCTTCTGACGTTCCTCAGCAGCATTCGTCGCCAATAAAATGCCAGTGTATTTCATGACATACGTGGCCGAAATGAGAGAGAAATCCCTGTACTCCTTTTTTTGCATGTTGCTCGTCAAAGAGCCTGTTTTCTTGATAGCTTTTAATGTTGAATGTCGCTCTTACGGTCAGAGATGTCACGGAGGAATTGAATGACATGCTATCGCTATAGTCGTTGCGAACTCATCGCTGTTCCGTGTACGAAATCTTCCTCTTATTATTCGCACCATCGGTGGTGGAACACGGGGTTGTGAACGTGGGATTGATCACGTGCTGGTTGATCGGTTGATTATACGTGCTACAACGTTATATTATTGACGTGTACTTTGAATGCAATCTTGCGGCGTACTGATCGTTATTTCTAGCATTGTAGAAGCAACCTTAGAAGTGATTGAATGGTTAAGATATTCGTACTTAATTTTCACTTTTCGTGTGCTAGAGTGGAGTTGGAAATTTTGTGTGTGGAGTGCGGTAATTAAGGTGATGGGTGTATAGGAAGAGGGACGTAGAGTGAAGGGATGGTATTTTGGGGTAGACAAGTAGAATAGTGTCAGACGTGGATTTAACACATTGTATGTGACGTGTGTTTGATGAGTTTCTGAGTTCATAGTATTATAGCATACGTATCTTTAATTTCCAAAATTTTGAACTGACAAATATATGAATTTATGAATCTACGAAATTTACTAATTAAAACAACAGTTTTTAAAATTTTTTAAATACCAAATATGCAAGTTTCCAAATTTTCATTGTTATACAGTCTTAAAATTTCACAATTCCAAAACTTGACAACTAAAAATTATACTGTACTAACGTGACAACTTCAATACCCCACAATTCCAGGATTCGACAAATGCAAAGTTCGGCAATTACAAAGGTCGACAATTCCAATGTCCAATAACTCAAAAATTTGACAATTCTAAAAACCGACAATTGCAACATTTTGCAATTCCAAAACCAGGCAATTCCAACATACGACAATTCCAAAATTGTAGCAATTCCAAGAACTCGACAATTCCGATATTCCGCAATTCCAAAATTAGGCAAAGCCAAAACTTTAGCAATTCCAAAGCACGGCAATTCCGACATTCGACAATTCTAAATTTTTAGCAATTCTACAACTCGACAATTCCAATATTCGGTAATTGCAAAATTAGACAATTCCAAAATTTGGGCAATTCCAGATTGCAACAATTTCGGCATTCCGGCAATTCCAAAATTCGACAATTCCGAAGTTTTTGCAATTCCAGACCTCTGCAATTCCAATATTCCACAATTCCAGTATCCGACTTTTCCAAAATTGCAGCAATTCCAAAACCCGACAATTGCAATACTTCGCAATTCCAGAATACGACAATTCCAAAATTGGACAGTTCAAAAATTTAAGCGATTCCAGAATTCGACAATTCCAGTATCTCACTATTTTAAAATTGCAGCAATTCCATTACTCGGCAATTCCATTACTCCACAATTCTAAAATTCGACAATTCCAAAATTTTGACAATTCCAGTGTCCCACCATTCCAAAATGGTAGCAATTCCAAAACTTTACAATTCCAATATTCAGCATTTCCAAGACTCCGCAATTTCCAAATTGCAGAAATTCTAAAATTAGACATTTAAATATTTTAACTCAAAATTTTAGCAATTCCTGAGCTCGACAATTTCAGTATCGCACCATTGCAAAATTGTAACAATTTCAAGGTCAACAATTCCAAGCTTCCACAATTTGAATATCCAACTATTCCAAAATTCCAATATTTGAATTTCCTAAATTCTTAAAGTCCTAAAATTAAAAAATTGTCATATCCCCATGCGAGCCTCTAGTAAAAGTCTCCACTGTAAAATACCCGGCCAGAACCGTAACCTTCGTAAACCAAGATATTTAAAAATCACAATTAAAATCTAACATAATAAAATAACGAGGTGACAGGTTGCAATAAAACAGCAATATACAGCGGAAGTATTTTATTATATACATATCCTTTTATCATTTCCTTTGAGAAAATACGTATACTTATTCGCAACTCGTTATAATTAATCCTCAGTGGGGCACGATTCAGTGTCGCGACCGTTCTCTATCGTCGAATCACAGGAACAATAATTACGGGTCTCGAAAGGAACATAGCGAACGCAGAGAAAATGATAATTTATTGCTACTTCCATCGACATGTGTGAAAGCCACGTGGACGAAATGTATGTTTCGGGGCTCTGCACACACTGAATCGTGGTCCCGTAACAATGCCGGACGCTATAATGAAACGTACAACAAAGATCACCCCTTTCGTAATAATAATTGTTTACGTATCATGGGGCTATCGAATCGCATAGTGTACCATTTAATCGGTTACAGTGAATAAAAGGGGTCAAGAGGTATCGACATCGGTAACGTTGTTTTCATTCTTTTCCTTATATGGTTTTTTTTATAGGTTTCCCGTTTTCTCTTTTTTTTACTCTTTTTTTTTCTTCTTGTTTGGTACATATTACACACCTCGATAGAATATTAAAACACTTATTCAATTTCATTTTGCAAACATTTCCTTACCTAGTATGTTTCTATTATTTCATTGTTATTCGGATAATGCCGTTTATCCATATAACACGTGTTACCCATCAAAGCAACGAAGAAACTGAACTCAAACGATTCACTTATATTTACATACGTTTACTTTTGTGTGTGTGTGTGTGTGTGTGTTAGATTATGCCCGTTTTAACCGAGATATATTTAACGCGTACAAATATATAGATAGCGTGTACGAGCAGGAAATCTTCGACACCCTTGCAAAACTTCTTTTGACGCTTTTAAGATGGCGAGTTTTATTTACGTACGCGAATATTTTGGGGCGAGTGCAATTTGATAAGTTTGGGTCGTAACCCAATTTTTAAGATTTTCATTCCAAATTATTTGGAAGCATACTTTTAATATTAGTTTCATTTTATTATCATACACGAAGTTTGAATTTTTTAAACCTTTAAAATTTCTTCTCATCATTTGCAACCAATATAATTATTCACTTTTCATTTCAGTTTAACTTGTTTCATTTTAAATTAATGTTTAATGTGTATTGTATAATATTTAATTTTTTATTATCATCTTTGGCTTCTGCCGATAATTTGTTTTACTTTCAAATTTACTTGTGGATTTCTCGCTGTTTCTTCTTGCGCTCTGCAAGACAAGATGGCCGCCCCACCAGTTGCGATCCAACGCTTGGACGTATACTTTATAGAACTAACGTTAATAGAATAACGATAAATTTAAAATAATCAAATAATTGCTTATTTGAAAATTGCATGAAAATAAAAGGCTTGTTTAATTTTGTGTTTGATTAATATTATGTTACTTGTTTCAGGTTAGGAAGAAAAATGGAAAGTTGAAAAGGTTACTTTGAAGATTACATGCTATTATAAAATTGAAAATTTCAAGTTGCTATTATTATTTGAAATGAACAAAAATAATTTAAAAGTACAGTGAAATGAAGGGAATCGGAAAATATAATTTATAGTTGAATGTTCAAAATGAAAATGAAGAATAAAAATATTAATAAATATCTGATTGAAATTAATAGAAAAGAATGAAACGATATAATTTGAAAGACGATGTGAAAGAACACGAATTTTTCATAAGAGAAGCTCTTGAATATGCTCTTAACAATCATTTGTTAATTAATAATTATCTAGTGATAAGTAAGTAAACTTGTTCCACTCAATAATTTAAATTTTCCTAAATCGTTGATTGTCCCAATAGTCATCAATGTCCAACGTCACATTTATTTAAATAATAAATATAATTTAATTAAATGGTTGCAAAATGAATAAAATTTAGTTGGACATTTACAAAGCACGGTTTAATTACGTAACCTCGAAATAAATATTAATTGAACTGCTAAATGAACATCCGCTAAATGAACAACTGCTAAGTGAACAACTACTAAATGAACAATCTCTTTAATTGAAGAATTTAATTACAAAACGAGAGAATTCATTTTTAATTTAATCAGCAACACAAAAATTTAATTTTTTAATTATTTTTAAACTATTTGTTAAGAATTAAAGAAATTAAAATTTAATTTTTTAAATAATTTTCACTAAAAATATGGTTGTCCAATTTTTCAATCATTTGCTTTTAATATGACACCTCGAATTGATATGCTAAATTGTTCGTACTTCTTTTTCGATGTATTTGTGACGCTGGTCATAAATGACCCCCATGGTTCTCAACGTGTTATCACGTTCA